CCATAAAACATTCATCCATGGGCTGGAGAGATAACTCAGCAGTTATAACTGTGCATTGCTCTTTCAGAGGAGCTGAGTTTAGTTCCTAGAACCCACACTACACAGCTCATAATCACGTGTAACTCCAGGTCCAAGAGACTCGATGCCCTTTTCTGGCTTCCGTGGTACCCACACACATGTAGCACAGACACACACGAAAGTTCACTGTTTTATTGTTGGCTATTGATTCCTTAAAGGCAATGACTAGGCCTACACTTCACAGTTCTTCCCCAGTTCTATAAGCTTCTGTTTACTCTCTAAGTATTAGTTATTTGTGGTTTTTCTTTGCTTTTCAAATTTAGTTAGTAGGTCAAAGTTCTTTTTCACATTTATCTTTTGAAACAGAACTTCATTTTCTCATAATTTGACCTGTATATTCATAAAATTTTTTATCAGTAATTTTTAAACGAATATTTTTTGTGTCAATTATCTTTGATGCCTTAAAACTTCAGGTTCATATTTGCATGCCTTCCCAAAAATAAAAAATTGCCTTGACTAGGAAATAAACACATATATGAAAGTATAGTATCATAAAAAACGCTCATTATTAACCTGAAACTGTCTGGCTTCTCCCCCACTGTCATTCCTGTTGCATACTGATCCTTCAAGAAAAAAAAAAAAAGATAAACCTATTTTAACACTACAAACTTCTAAATTATTCTTGATTATCATAACTGTAATAATATAAAATGAAGTTTAAAACTAAATATTAAAAACTTTAAAAATATCAAAGTAAGCTGGGCGTGGTGGTGCACGCCTGTAGTCCTAGCACTTGGGAGGCAGAGGCAGTTATTTTGATATATCACAGTGAAAGATTTATCGTCCTCTTTTTTTTTTTTTTTTTTTTTTTTTTTTTAAAAAAAAAAAAAAAAAAAAAAAAAAAAAAAAAAACAAACCATGCATAAAGGTATCATACGTTTGATTTTTTTTATACACATTATAATAAAATGCTTTACTTTCTCCTGCAAATTTCACCTTTGACATTAAAGTTCAAGTTCAAAATAACTTACAAATCAAGTTATGGCCTTGGAGTTTACACTAGTACTCAAAACAAACAACAAACAAAATCTAAAGCTTCTAAGACAGACACATGTATTTCATAAGTGAATATTAGTCAAAAATTGAACTGACAGCAAAATGAAAGAGGGGAAACAGCAACATGAGATGACTTTGTAAGCTGCATAAAGAATGTGAGTGGAACACATGGAGAACTAGCAGAAATGTTAAATACTTTATGTTTCCTTTTAAGAGTGAAGGGGTAAAGACTGTGGCTAAATTATAACAAGTAAAGCTGATATTTCAATAAAGATGAAACTGCTATATAAAAAAAAGAAAATAAAGGTAAATGTGGTTTGAATTTTATTTATGGTAGTATCACTTAGTATAAACCAAATACTACTTAATAACAGTCACAAAAGCAAACTGTTAAACACTTTTAATTATATACTCCAGGGCATATTAAACAGTATTCCAAATCAAATGTGACATGTTACATGTATAAACATTATATGAATTTTGAAAAATTATACTCTTAGCTTTCATCACAATTTCAAAAGGACCCATGATTGAAAATGTGCTATGAACCATTATCTGGTTAATTAAAAAGTAGCAATTAAAACTCAAAGAAATAGTTATCTGTCTCTAGTCAAATAATCAGCAAGTATCAAGTGTCAGTACTCAAAGCTTCTTTTCACTGGTGTACTACAGACACTTCTAGGACACTTTTATAAGCATACACTAGAGAGAAAAATCTGTATGACCTAAGACCTGAGAGAAATTCTCAATCTATATTTCTATATTTTAACAAAGACAAGAGAGAAGATTGGAAAGCAATTCTGCAGGAGTACAAACAATTCTAGAAGGGTCATTCTTGAGGAAACAAAAGAAAGCTTGAATGAGAATGACTGCAAGAAAACAAATTTTTATAGTTCTATCAGAGGCTTCAAGAATTTGAAAAATCAAGCAAAAATATAAATCATACAGACTGGAAATATTGTGATAGTGCACAGCACAGCACAGCTAGAAATGATCACAAAGAGTAATTGTAAGCAAAACACTGATTTAACCAGAAATTTTAGCCACTGGAGGGTAAGAGTAAACATTAAGGGCAAGCTTATTTAAAAACAAGCAAAATAAATAAATAAACAAATGACATCCTTTATCATAGGATCAGAAATCAACAAATAACATTACAAAAAAAAAATGACCAAGTCAAACAAGGTAGGCTATTTAACCCAGTGTGATTCCACAGGGCACTACTGCATTCTGAGCAGGACAATTTTTTGTTATGGGAGACTGGTTCTTAAAACACTGGTCAACAACAAAGGTCTATGGGCCAAATCGAGTAGCTTTTTGCAAATGAAGTCTTAAGGGAACATAACCGCAGCCATGCAGATTCATTTTGCACATCGTCTATGGTTGCTTCTATGCTGCAATTGCAGAGTTGAGTAATTATAGCAGAAACTTTACAAACCTCAAAATCTAAAACACTTGCTATTGAGCCCTTTATAGAAAGTCTGCCAACCATAACTTTGAGCATCTTATGACGTTTATTATGTAAGTGCTATCCACAAAGGCCAATACCCTAAAAGTAATTAGGAAAACTAAAACCTCACATCCGCACATTTGTAAATTCCAGTCCTCAAACCCCTACTAAGAATGAGGAATGGCAGAACTTTGGTTTAAGAACCACAAAACTATAACTATAAAGAATTAAAAATTACATCCTTCGGGGAGCAGAACTCAGAGCTTACATGTGGATAGTCTTGGGTTTTTTGTTTTGTTTTGTTTTGTTTTAATCTTTACTACAAACCTTGAAACAATGATCTCTGAAAAGTATTCAAGGGCATTTCTTTGAGAAAACTAATTTTAAAAGTAAAGGAGTAAAAGAGTAAATGTATTCTGGCAACCCCTAATAGAAAAATATGTAGTTATATTTGTTGATGTATCTTGTGGCATTTAAATATTTTTATTTATTATTTCTTTTGTGTATATGAGTGTATTGCCTGCATGCATGTAAGTGCACACCGGTGTTGTACAATGCCCACAGATGTCAGAAGATGGCACTGGATCCCTTGGAACTGGAGTGATGGACAGTTGTCAGCTGCCATGTGGGTGCTGGGAATCAAACCCAGGTCCTCTGCAAAACCAGCTAGTACTCTTAACTGCTGAGCCATCTCTCCAGCCCCTATTTTGTGACATTTAATACGACTGTGATGGTGAATGTTTAAATTGTGTACATCCAAACAGCTAAGAAAATTAACCTCAGATAAGAGAGGTGTTACTCTGCTAAGTGCATGTGAGTATATTTAAAACCCTCCAATCCGAAGGGAGGTTAGTTAGCCAAACAGCTCCATAAGGAATTTTTAGTGAAATCTGAACTGTTTCACATGAAAGGCCATATAAAGAAAATACTTAAAAAACATTACTTCAGTAAGGCAAGAAAAGCTTTCAAAAAATATTTTCTTAGAAAAAAAGGGAAGTTTACTTAGTATACTGCAAAGAATACCTATATCAAACATATATAAAAGTTTTTATTTTATCTTACTCTGGTTTCTTTGAGAATTTTCTTTTTATTTTTTACTTTTTTATGTGTATGAGTGTTGTGCCTGCATGTGTATAAGTACACCCATGCCATACAATGCCCACAGAGGACAGAAGAGGGTTTCAGATCCCCTGCAAGTTACGGATGTTGTTAGTTGCCATGTGGGTACTGGGATTCAAATTTAAGTCTTCTGCAAGAGCAGCCAGTGCCCTTATCCACTGAGCCATCTTTCCAGCCCATGAATTTTCTTATATTTAATCTCTTTGGCCAAACAGGTCTTTAAGCTAACTGGAAGTTTAAAAGTAAAGTGATACTAATATAGAACCAAAAGAGTGAGTAAATACATTATCAACATCAATACTATCAATTAAGAATTTTATATGAAAAACATGGCATTATATATGACATTATATATCTGTGGCATATTTTACCAAGAAGCAAATAAATATCCACTGATAAGATTATATTTCCAGATTTGCCTAATCTTTAAAATACTGTAATTATTGCTTATATGCAATTCTATTAAATTTAAAACTTGCCTGGATTTCCCTTTACACAGAAAAAGCTTAAAATATAATTACGTTTTTAATAGAAAACTAAATAAAGCATCAAAAATACTTTAGGGGCTGGAAATGTGGCTCAGTGGCTGAATGCTTGCCTCATGTGCACAAAGACATGAGTTCAATAACTAGCATTCTCCTCTCCAATCTTTAAAATGTTTTTGTTAGGAACTAGGACTTTAACTCACTCCCAACTGAGAAGATAATGTGTAAAAACAAATACTTGCTAAAAAAAAAAAATCTAAGACTACATAAAACAATTTTTTCTTTTTTGGTCGTTTTGAGACAGAGTCTCCCAGCCCCTGCTGGCCTGGAACTTCCTTTGTAGACTAGGCTGGCCTTGAATGCACAGAGATCTGCCTGTCTCTGCCTCTCCAGTGCATACATCACCACACCCACTAAAACAATAAACATTTTAAAGAATGTAAACAACACTCAGGAGTAAACATTTGACTGTATTTACAAAAAAGTTCTAATTTTTCTTTGGACTTTATGAACAATTCTAATAACCTAATTTTCTTTCTTTAAAAAAATTAAGGCAAGATAAACTTTCAATATTTTTCTATGATTCTAATTATGTGCATAATCCTGGAGATTTGGTTTAAATTATAACAGACAGTAATTAATCTAGCTATTTTGTTATTATAGAGTAAAAATTAGGGGAAAATATTTTAGGTATCACTTCTCAAATTGAGTTAAAAATGAAGTAACCAAAAAGAAAAATCACAATAATCTTCCTCTTAATAAAAATCCTAAAATATCTATTTTGCCATTATTTCAGGCAATACATAAAATACACATCATATATTTTTGGAAGTGAAACACTTAAAAATTAAAAGCTTTGACTATCAACTTACCTTCTTTTGATACCAGACTATAGCATCTGTGACTTTGGACGCCATTTATTCCACTGAAATTATACATTCGTCATTTTAATCTGTACAAGAGAGAAAAACATGCAAATGACTTTATTTCTACCTTCCAAGAGAAGACTCCTAGTATACATACATAGCACTCTGTCACCTGCAGAGCAAGGGGCACAACTCTGCTTGTGCTAATCACACCCTTCCCTCAGTGCTATTTTAGCAACAGGTTCTCTTGAGTAAACAAAAATCAGCTGTCATAAAAGATGTTTTTGTGTGAATATAGTACTTGAATGTTCTTAGAAAATGAATTGTCATCTAAGGACAAATAAATTTCAGAATTTTCCAGGTCATAATGGAGATTTTTCTTTTATAATTTAACATATACAAGAAACTAACTCATTCACTGTAGATCAGTTTTCCCTAGCGTCTATCAAGGAGTCAATCACTGTGAGTAAAGGAGGGTTTGATAGAAATGACAAAATTGTGTGTGTGTGTGTTTCTTCTTTTTGAGAAGGGTTTCCCTGTAGCCCCAGCTGGCCTGGAATGCACTATGGAGACCAGGCTGAAACTCAATCTCACAAAGATCCACCTGTCTCTGCCTCCATTTTGTTTTTTTAAAACAGGGTCTCCCTGTAGCCCCAGCCGGCCTGGAACACACTATGTAGACCAGGCTGGCTCAATCTCAGGTGTTGGGATTAAAAGTGTGCACCACTATGTCCAGCTAAAATCATATATATTTTTATAGTAAACACAATATCAAACTAGAATCAGCCAGAGAACCATATTAAATGCTAAGTCAATATAAGTTACTTACACAGGAATAATATTAAGGACATGCCAGCTATCACAGTTTGCTAATATTTAGAAAAAAACAGGCTGCTAAAGGAACAGTTGAAAGTCTTAAAAAGGAACCCTATGGGGGTGGAAAAGTGTCCTTCCTGATTTTAAACCAAAATCCCAGTACCAGGGGTGGGTTGCCTATCTATGAGCAGTTGGCCAAAAGGACCCCAGAGGTCCCCAAAACTATAAAGGTGGTTGCCAATAATGTTGGTTGCACACCTGAAGTGGAGGTAAGACCCTATTGCTGAAGATGCTGCTTGATGTGAGCATGGAAGAGGGAGAAATCAAGCTTGGACTAAGCTGGAAACTCCCTGCCACTGGAGGTGGCTTTCATAGTGCCAGAAGGCGCTATGCAGATGGCTGTGGGAGAACTGTCCCCCATTATCCTGTTCAATGAAGGACATCGCAGATCTCGCGTGCTGCACTATCAACATGTGAAGCAAGGTGTTCCCGCTGGCGTGATAGTGGCTCACCTAGTGTATGCACAACCAGCTAATTATCAACTGGACCTAATGTCCATTCATAGGGATGAAACGCACATCCAGTATTGCAGACCAGACCAACCCCCTGTGGCAGGAGAGGTTATAGGCCCCAGTGGAGAAGCCACTGCAACTGTATTGTTAGATGGATGGGATGCACCTACTAGTACCATCCAAGCATTTGTGTTTACGCCCATGAACTATTACTGCAGTTACTGTTTACATGTTCTTGCTTCTTGCTGTTTGTGCTTTTATAGCAGGTGGAATGCCACTAAATTGAACCATCAGGCCATGACAGAGGATGCAGAGCCTTGAAGAGTCCAGTGCCCTATTACAATGGGAGAAAAGTTGCCCCACCCCTTCTGAGGCTCAGGGATATTAGAGGAAAAGGCTGGTGGAAAATTTTGTGAGAGCCAGAGGAAGGGATGGAGAGTGTGACCCAGAGGATGTTCCTCTGACCCTGTGATGACAAGCCCTGGACCCACCTCCTTCCTTCCCACGCTCTACAAAGAAGCCACTCCCCTTCCCTCTTCCAGCCAATCAGTTGACCATAGTCGCTTTCAGGGGCGGGGCTAAGGGTATAAAAGCTGGGAACACCAAGAGGCTGGTCTCTCCTCATTTTGTAAGGCTGTCCAGAACCACAGGATTTATGTCTGGGTGTGGACTTTCAAACACAGCCATGGTGGGGGGGGGGGCTGCTTCTCTGTAAGTAAACCCGCACCCCAAGCACGGTTAGCAAGTCCAATAAACTCCTTAAGATTCTTCAAACTGGGGTTTGGAGAATTTTTTTCCTCAGGCTGTTGCAAGAACCCTGGGAGGAAGGGATTGGATGCCACATGCACCTCCCAGAGGTGAATCTGATACAACTGGCATCTTTCTTATGCTTGTCTAAGTTCCCTTCATACTGATAGCAGTTAACGTTGAGATGTTTTTCCCATGACCATGCTACAGACAGCATCTCTGTTGTGGTATTAAGGATAAGGCAAACACGCACTCAGAAGCAGAATCTGACCAGGCACTCATTAGAAATCAGGATCTTAAAAAGAACACCCAAGAAGTAGGCAATATTTATAGTTCTTTTTATTAACATGAAAAATAACTGAGTAAAGCAATAAATACAATTGGGTTCTGTTGACATTGAAAATAAAAATAGCTACCTGATTATCGCAATGTCAATTCTCAACTTCATGCACATTATTTAGAGATTTCAAAGTTTACCTCCTCTGACGCTTTTTTGGTCAGGTGTGGTTACCTTCATTTCTCTCACCAATGTCTTTAGGGAAGCTCTTCTTTATTGACTTAAAATTTCCAGCTTGGGTTTTTGTCTTTGAGATCTCTGGGGTGATTCATTCATTTTAATCATAGTTTTTAACTCAAGATTTCCCACTTGATTTTGCTAAAGGTCTGTTCACTACAGCTGTCTACTCTCATATCTGTTTGCCAAGACAATTATATACACTTTGCAAACTAATCATAATCTCCCTATACAAACTACAATAAGTGGTACAAAAAATTGGAAATCAATTTTTCAATAGACCTAATCTTTTTTGTTTTTGTTTTTATTTTTTGAACCAGGGTCTCACATATGTAACCCTGGCTGGCCTGGAACTCGCCTGTCTCTGCTAGAATTAAAGAAAGACGTGCCACTATGCCCAACACTGTACCCAATCTTTATTGAAAAAAATTCCAGATTATCTATCAAGTATCTTCTTTCCAAAAACTCCAAAAAGCATGAATTCATTCATGATAAAAAGTGTGAAAGGATTTTAATGACCACATCTATTAATGTTCTATATTGTATACTTAAGAGACTATTTATATGGTCACATATAAACAATAGCACTGAGGGCCATGAGACAGTTCAGTGGATAAAGATGCTTGCTTTGCCACCAAGCATGATGACCAGAGAGTTCCCACTGGGATCCACATGCTGGAAGGAGAGAACTGACTTGTCCTTTGACCTCTATATGAGCCCAGTGGCACGTGCATACAACACACACACACACACACACACACACTAAATAAATGTAAAAAAAAAAGTACTGAAAACAAAAAGAAATTCCTTAATAAAAATGAGGAAAACACTGTCTGCCTTAAAATAAAATTATCTGAAAGTCAAAAGTTTTTTAACTTTAAATAATTATTATTATCATGCATGTGAGTGCATGATGCACATGTGTGTATGTGGCACAGTGTTCATGTGGAGGTCAGGTTCTCGCCTTTTACCTTTACATGAGTTCAAGGATCCAACTCAGGTAGTCACTCTTGCAGAGACAGTGCTTTACCCTGTTCAGTGATCTCACCAATCCAAAGCTTTAAGCACACCTTGGTTTATTAACCCACACTTAGAAACAAATGTCAAAACTCCAACAAACTATTAGTTGTATAAAATATTCTATATATTTTTAATTATAGTTATTTGAATCTTCAGAAATAAAAACAATTTTCTGTTTAAAAAAACTCCTTTGGTAAGGTGTGTGCTCTACAACTCATTTAATAGTTTTTCCAGTGTGTTAACAACCTTTCAGTGACACTGAGTGGCTCAGAGCTATTTTTAAAACAGGTTTTACAACATGCTGAGACAGATTTATGAATCAGACATCTGACAAAGCACACTCAAATTTCTTACAACTAAAATTCAAGTAACCAAACATAAGGACAAAGAAATAACGAATTTGAAATATGCAAACAAAAGTAATTAACATACCACAAACAACAAATTTAACAAGTAAACAAAAGTAATTAATATACCAACAAATGATTTTGTGGATACAAAGATTGCTAAAGCCTTTCCAACTTTGATTCTGTAATAGTCCATGCTTATGGTCCCTTTTGTCATGACTATTTATGTTAAATAACCTTGCTAATGATAAATAATATTCAAATATATACAATGTTAATGCACAGAGGAGAGAAGCATAAAAAACTTCAACCTTGAATAGAAAATCTATAGAATTTTTTTTCTATGTTCAGTGTGTGTGTGTGTGTGTACAAGTTCATGTTTGTACACGTGTGTGCATATGTATACGGAGGCCACAGGTTGAAGTTGAAGCTCTTCTTCAATTACTTCTCCACTTCATTTTTTGAGCCAGTATCTCTCCCTCACTGATCCCGGAGCTCACATTGGCTAGGCTGATTGACCAAACAGCACTGGGATTCACCTGTCTCTACTCCCTGAAGCACAGGACTTACAAGCAGGTTCCACCATGTCTGTTTTCATGTGGTTACTGGGAATCCAAACTCAGGTCCTCATGCTCCACGGCAGGCACATTACCATCTGAACCATTTCTCTACATCTCAACATCTTTTTAAAACTCAACTGATCTGATACAAGAATGGGCATTATAATATGAAAAAATATGATTCTAAAACCACAGTTAACTCTAGGTATAATATTTGAACCTTCCTATAGACAGTCTGAGCTAATTCTTTTTATGACACAGAATTAATCACCATAACTATCAAAATATCCAGAAACAATGATTAAATCAATTTCCACAAACAACTCATTTACAATGCGAAAGGCTAAGGTGGAGGGAAAAGACTACAGAAAAAAACAGTATGTATGTGAAGTGTGCTTTCATAGAATCTCACCAATAACACTAATGAGCAGGAAGAGAGATCTTTGTACACAATGAGATGTTTCTAAGTCAGATTTTTAGCTACTCCTTATATTTCAAATTATTCTATGAAATAGTATAATTACAATGGATTCCTCTGATTTTTTTCACAACAAATGTCTGACTCGCATG